ATGCACACAGACTTTCACACCTGCCACAAATAATTTGTGTAAAAACGTATCTCCTAGTCGCGCTCCTTTTTCAATTTTTATGTTATCTTTGTTTAGTCGAATTATTGCAGTATGGTTATGATATAATTTCTCAGTAATACTACTACTAATAATAATACAGTAGAATACCTCATATCCGGAATGCCTCATATCCGGAATCCCCATATCCGGAATGCCTCATATCCGGAATCCCTCATATCCGGACTGTCTCATATTCGGAATCCCGCATATCCGGATATGATTTTGATGTGTTTATTTGAACTATTTGGGTGATATGTAAGTGATTTGAAATTTCTGTTTTTCAGGAAATTTGCTTTGGATAATTGCTTATGCTTATTTCCCCCTAAATGGCTTGTATTGGTGCAAAAGATGATGGGAATAAGAGGAAAAGAACAACTTTGGAGTTATTGCAAAAAGTGGAGATTTTAAACAGACTAGACGCTGGTGAAAGTTAATTGTAACTAATGGCTGAGTTCAACATAGGAAAATCAACATTGTATGATATAAAGTCTTCTAAAGAAACTATTCTTCAGCGTTCACACTGTCACAATGAACAAGGAAATAAAACACATGATTGTAATGAAACCTGGACTGAAATTGAAAAAGCTATTGAAAAGGCCGTCAGTTTTATGGAAAGAAAGCCAGCATTCAGTTATGACGATTGCAATAATGCACGCAGAGTTAAAAGTGTCTTTCGTTTAAAAATTTCAAGATGAAAAGCAAAACGAAACATGGAAAAAATTGAGAATGGCATTAGAAGAGAAAGAATCATCATGCAACCGCGATTAAAAAAAAACCTCGTTACATTATTTCTTTTGCATACGTGGCATACTTAATTTAATGAATTTTCATTAACATTACATAATTTATTTCTTTTTCTTTAAAATCAATTCTGTTATATTTCACTCACCATTAGCTTATTTTGTTTACTATAAAACACTGAAAATAAATGTGTAACATGATTTCAGTTCTTTTATTTTAATCTAAATATAACCCCTCATCTCCGGACTTTGTAACCAGTTCCTCATATCTGGAAGGTCTTCTTAGTCAGGGATTCTACTGTAATAATAATAATAATAATAATAATAATAATAATAATAATAATCGTTATTAATCTCATCTCGTAATGAATTAAACACTTCTGCGTATTTTAGTAAACCAACAAAAACTAAACAAAATTAGTATTTATACTATTTAAATTCGGATTATTATCTTCATCTCTGTTGCTGTTGTCACAATGTTTCGGCCGTTGTGCCCATCAGCCTTCATCAGATATATATCGATCTGGTTAACTGACAGAGGATTCTGAACTGAACACTTTATGCCATTTATGAGGGTAGACAGGTCTCGTTACACTGCCTATGTCTAGGGATATCTCGTCTAGCTCTTTTTTGTACTGTTCAGTTATTGCTCGCCAAGTCGTATTACACACACATATATATAAACCAGAATAAAAAATGACATCAAATTCAGGAACTAACGCTTTAATAGTGTAGATTACCCATATCGATATACCACACCTGATGAAAACCGGAGAGGACACCGGCCGAAACGTTGTGATAACAACATAGATAGGGACAATAATCCGAATGTGTGTGTGTATATATATAAACTCAAACTTTTGAACTGTAGTATATATATATATATATATATATATATATATATATATATATATATATATATATATATATAGATCAATTCTCAGATCAATTCTGTGGACAAGACAGATTGGTATAAAATGACAATTGGAAAAAATCTTAGATTATGCCGACGCGTTTCGTCTTCCGACTTTTTCAAGGCAAAAAAAAAAATCCCTTACTATAAAGGTAATTTACATCAACCAGAAAAAAGGCTTAGACTGAAGCGTCTATCTTTTTAAATTTGAATTTTTTAATGTAACTATAACAAAAAAAACATTTCGATTTCATTTTTGCCTTGAAAAAGTCGGAAGATGAAACGCATCGGCAAAATCTAAGATTTTTTTTCCAATTGTCATCATACATATATATATATATATATATATATGTATATACATCAGCTCAAAAGTTTGAGGCCGCCCCTAGTAATTTTTTAAAATGGCCCCAAAAGTAGTTGTTTTGTAATTTAAATAAGGGGAAGTTATTATACACGGTTAAAAAAGTGAGACTTGATTTTTTATTACAAATTTTATTATGACGAAAAAGAAAAGAAAAAGTATTTTATGATTAAATTTTGCTCTCGTCAAAATATCCTCCTTTATCCTTGATTACTGCAGCTCATATTTTTGGTATTCATTTCTCAAAGTATAAGTTTGATAATTGATTCCATTCTTTTTTCAATGACTCTAAGCGCTCTTTTTTTTTTATTTGAACAACGCTGTATTGTACGAGTAATTCTTCCACACCCGGTAACCCCTTGTGTTTTATTGGCTTTATTGCCTTGCTTGCGGTGATAGCTGTTAACAAAATATACACACTGTTTAATAGATGAAAATGAGGCTATTTCAAATACGAAGTATACGTTATAATAACGTTTGAAGTAATATATATATATATATATATATATATATATATATATATAGATAGATAGATAGATAGATAGATAGATAGAGAGAGAGAGTGAGTAAAGGTAATAAATCCGTTGGTATATAATCCAATTGGATCCTAGTAATATAAAATATTAAAACTGATCCACAAAAACAGTTCAGTGTATTTTTTTAACAGAGTCAATGAACAGTATTACACAATAAAATCAAAAAAATACCTTGTATGGGGAATAGATCTGTTTCAACCGTTGAAAACTTCGCCAGTCTTATTCAAACCCGATATATAGACTGAGTTCGTGTCGGAATTATAAATTTAGCTGTGACAGCTGTCGAAAAACTAATACAGAACTTATCCATTTCAATGTTTCAAATGAAAGGCACGAAACACTTTTCTTTAAGGCTAATACCTTCCACAGATCGTTTTTGAACTGGGGCAGGAATTGGCTGGTTAACTTTAACGCCTCAAAAACAAAACTGCCTTCTATTAATCACCACAGAGATCCTTCCCTACCCTACATTAGAATGTCTGACGCTCAACTTCTCGAGAGCACCTCTTTGTAGTTGCTCGGCCTCACATTGTCTGCTGACCTGAGATGGAACAAATACATTGAGTCAATTGCTTCGTCCACCGCAAGGAAAAATGGCTCCCTGTGCCGCGCCAGGAAATTTTTCTCCCCGGAATCGTTACTTCAAATCTACAAATCAATCATTCGCCCTTGCATGGAGTATTGCTGCCATATATGGTCTGGTGCCCCTTATGGTTGTCTCAAGGTTCTTGATTAGATCCAGAGACGGATATGCAATATAACTGGCTCTGATCCGGCATCTTGTCTGCAGTCGTTCTCTCACAGACGTGCCATCACGTACTTCTGTCTTTTTGACAAATACTTCCATGGCAATTGCTCCGATGTGCTGCTTTCGCTGGTTCCCATGCTTCATGAGTTCAAGCGTCCTACGAGACTGGCATCCCGCTCTCACCCTTTCACTGTTGAAACTGTTAAATGTAGCCGTCTCTTCTACTCCAATAGCTTTATATATCGCACCTCTCGCCTGTGGAACTCCCTTCCCTATTCCTGTTTCCTCGATACCTATAATCTCCAATTGTTCAAATGTAATGTCAATCGACATCTCCAGTTGCTTTGATCAATCCACTATCCTTCTCCCCATCCTTCCCTCTATCATTCCTACCTGCTCTCGCTCCAAATCCTCTATAACCCCTTGCGTGCTAGTGGCTTCCCGCCTTGCTTGGGGTGAAATGCTTAAAAAAAAAAAAAGAAAAGAAAAAGAAAAAGTTATTAGCCTTTGTTGAATCTTGACTAATGCATGGAATAATAATGCAACACAAAATTTACTTAGAACAAAATGTATTGAAACAAGAAAGTGTACACAATATTTACATATAGTCTTTTGTATATTCCTGGTAAGACCGTTCCTGGAGAATGTGTTGACTGAGTCGCAGTCGTGCAGAGTCTCTGGATTGAATCTCTCCTCCCCTCGTCTTCCCGGTACCAACCATATTTATATGGTCGGTACTCCACTATGCAAATTAGGTGGATCCTACCACAACAGCCTTAAAGGGAAGAAGTCTTATAAAATTAAACCAGGATATTAACCTTCTGACATTAAATAGGTGTTATATCAAGAATGAAGTGTTAATCTGGTACTAAGAGAGAAAGGAAGAGTGAGTTATTTTTAAAAAAATTATAGAGATAATGTCAAGTTTAAAAATATAAATTCCTACTTAAAAATACTGTTTCCAACATAAAAAAATATTTAAAAATAAGATATATTTAATGAATTAAAAATAAGTCATATTTAGATAAATTATAATAAAATTAAATAAGATATTATTAAAAAAATAGAGTAAATTGATTATATTAAAGAATAAAAATATTTAAAAATAAAATTATAAGATAAAATAAATTACATATTAGAAATACACACACACACACATACACACATATCTCTCTATATATATATTATAAATTAACTGATTTAAAATATGTTTTTCGCTATACAGTAATAACCATGTTGAGGATGAAATGGAATTAATGCTTTTAATTTAATTACAAAATTAAATTCGAAGCTTTTAGCTTCCCTTTTTGAAACATGGTTATTACTGTGTAGCGAAAAACGTATTTTAAATCAGTTAATTTATAATATTAATGCTCCGTAAATTTACGTTGGGCACTATTTTGTAAAAATAAAAAAATATTAATAAGAGCACTGGATTATATATGTTACTGTTCTTTCTTTTTATTTACACACACACACACACACACACACACACACACACACACACACACACACACACACACACACACACACACATATATGTATGTATATATCCTTTAAAGTAAAAAGATATATAATCAATACGTGAGTATCTACAACAATAAACGTAGATAATAATAACACGATTCGAAGTTGAGTCAACGAGTGCATCTTTGATAGAAGTGGTTGATTGATGTTTGGATAGTAAGTGGGGGTGGCGAGAAAGAATCTTCACAGGGAACGGTCGGTGAAGGATACGGCTCAAGCAAGAAAGTACTGTGAAGGAAGGACGAAAGGCGGTTCAGATGGGCGGAGTTTTTTTTTGGGGGGGGAGGGTGAGGGGATGAGGGCTGGCGAAGAGGAAAGCGTCAAAGACTCTTGTCTCACGAGGTAAAACGAAAGAAACGCTTGCTATTCAAAGATTTTCGCACAAAACCATCGATTTCGAAAAATGGACCTAAAAGAGAATTTCATTCCTTTCAACACCCCCTCACCCCCAACCCAAGGCGTCTGCAAAGAGAGATGAAGAGATGACGTCAGCAAAACGAGCGCTGATACCACCCGGGGTGGACAGTCGCCATGTTGTTGGCAATTGATTAAATAGGCGAGGTAGAAGGGGTTTGTCGGTGTATTTGTAGCAATGGCGTTATAGAGACAGCAAATGCCTATACACAACAAGAGAGAGTCGGTTTCTTGACGGAACGATTTACGGTATTGTAGCGGTAGTATAAAAAATAACCATTCGTGACCACCAAGACTGTTTTATGATTTGTAAAGAGGTAAAGTCAGATTCTCCAACGTAATCACTGACATTGGTGTGGTTGACTATGGCAGCCGACGCCACGACTTGTGAGGATTACCATCTACCACAAGTCGATAACATTAACCTCAGTCGATAGCTATTATTTTTTATTTCTGTTATAGAAATTGGTAGTTCTTCTTCTTTTTCTCTTGTATGCCGTCTTCCTTCAAGCCGTGGGCGATCATGGATCTCCACAACTTCCTGTTGTTTGTAGCTGTTAGCAATGTCATCCATTTACAAAAGCTCGTTAGATTGACCATTCACTGCTCGCCTTTGACCCTCTTGTCTTCAACATGCCCGGTGAGTATTACATTTTTCCAAGCCTTCTTTCCTCATTATGTGCTCTGGAATTTTCAGCTGTCACTTTCAGATTCTAAATATAAGAGTTTTCTCTTGATATCCTATATTTTCGTAAATAGTAACTTCGCTCCAGACACTTTAGTTTGCATAGATCGCCAGCGAGCAAACACAGGCGATCCCATTATTGAATTAAGTAGACCACGTGAGCATAGAGGAAAGTAGCGTCTGTCTAACTGATCGTTATTTCTATTCTATCCTCTATTATTATTCGGATCTCTATTTCTAGTCTATCCTCTATTACTATACGGACCGCTATTCTCTACTCTATTCACTATACTATTTATCTATTCAGATCACTATACGGGTTACTTGTCGAGCAAGTATTATCGAGGAAGTACGAGTGATATTCGAAGGCGCCTGACACCAGTATTGTTCAACGGCGTTACTATAGTTGTATCTGCGATTACAAAGTCTCTACTACGACGAGCCTTTACGAAAGTAACAACGAGCATTCGTTAGCATCACAAAAGTTGCAACGAGTGTTTGTTGACATCATAAAAGTAATTATATTGATGGTCGAAGCAGGAATTTTATTTTAGATTAGCGTGCATAGTTGACAGGATTGTACGGAGTCCAAGATGCAATCTAATAACAGGATCAAACAAGTACAAAAATCTAACTACACGGAAAGCGTATTAGTAGACAACGGAAAATATGCCACGGAAAACTGAAGGCGCATTCGAATACCGAAAGATGCCTCCCAAAAGCTAAACAAAGAACAAAGAAACAAGAATATTTTGTTCAAAGCAAAGGAGAATAGTTATGTGAAGTACTATGTAATACAATTCCTTAGATATGGCAGTGAATGCTGGACAATTTTCTCATAAATAAAGAGGATCGATTGATTTATTTTTTACGGTTTATCAACCATTTGTTCGTTATTTCAAGTTGAAGAGAACAATTGTTTTTATCCGGCATCGTTGGTAAAACTAAGCTGGCCGTAAGCCTCGAGAAGGGCATCCTATCTATGGTTGACCCGGGCAGGAAATGGCTTATAAACTTTAATGCCTCCAAAACGAAACTGTTCTCATTTACCAACCATAGAGAATCCTCCCTACCTCCTCTCAGGATTGCTGAGGCCCAACTCCTCGAGAGCGACTCTGTGCACCTGCTTGGTCTCACGCTGTCCACTGACCAGAAGTGGAACAACTACATTGAATCCATAGCTTCATCTACTGCAAGGAAGGTTGGTTCAAAACTTATATATATATATATATATATATATATATATATATATATGTGTGTGTGTGCAAGTTTCATTAAATATGACAGACAAGGTGATTTGATTAAGTTTTTTATATAATTTCTCATGTGATTTTTTTTCTTTTCCGTAGATAAATTATATAAAAACTGTCCAAATGTTTTTTTCTGAGCGCTTTCGGCTATACTTTTAGCCATTTCCAAGGCTGAAATATATTAACTATTAGCTAGAAATAGATTGTTGTATTTACATAATATTTCATTTTCAAAACACGGTCAAGATATTATGTCCATGTTCAAAGTTGATATTATTAAGTTTTGTTTTTTTGTTTTTATTAATAAGGCTTCAATTATTTTTAGTTTCTGTTTTTTACATATAAAAAAAGCGTTATTATATTTGCATTATCAAGAAGTATGTTATGAATAGGGTCCAATGGTTTCATGAGTATTTAAATACAACACTCATTACACCGAAAACATGTAAAAATCGCTACATAGTTGCAATCGTGTTTCAATGCATATCAATGCACCTCTTCAGGCGACTGTAAATTACTGGCGAGTGAACGATTTATTTAGATATAAAAGCAAAATATAACCTCTTTTTTTTTTTTTAAAAAAAAAAGGGGTTATAATGTTTGAGGGCTTTACTCTGGCCAACCAATCAAATATGACCTACGTTAAATTTAAACTAAGCGAAGAAGCAAAAATGAAAAATTATTTTTTTTATAAATGGGTCATGACCCATAGATTGGCATCCTCTGGGCGTAATTTTTCCATTTATGGGTAAACTCCAAGACGAAATAAATGTAGCGTAGACCGAAAGATATTTAAAAAAAATATATTATTTATTGATAGTTTATTTTTTAAATTTGGGACGTGCTATGTCGCAACGCTAGAGTTCTTGTTTAAATAATTCAACTGAAAATTTTGTTTGTTCTCGGCCTAGCAGCATCACATTCATCTAACAATCTAACGCGTTATTCAATTAATTGTTAGTAAATGCCTTATTAAGTTTTGCTAGCGAAGAGATTTCGCCATTAATTACATTAACATTAATAATTAATTCTTTGTATGATTACCTCTTTATGATACAATATATATACTCCACAATCTAATACACACACACACACACACACACACACACACACACACACACACACACACACACACACACACACACACACACACACACACATACATATATAGAGACATGTCTGACTGAAAAAATTATAGACACTATGTCTGCTAATTTTTAACAAAATTTCTTCATACTCACTAATAAACTTCCATGTATTGATGTTAAAGGATGAGAGAAATGTGCTATAGCTGTTTAAATTTCTTTTATTTTCATTTCCCAAGTACTTTCGATCTTCTTCCAAGATCATCTTCAGGGGTGCAAGTAGTACAAAACTATATGTTGTTCATTTGTATAAATATTTATATAAAGATTTGCGTTGTTATCCATTACCGTAATTTTTTCATTATGCCAAAACGGTTGACAATGTGCTGAGCGTTCATTAGAACGTGAAAAAAAATATCCATTATGGAATTTTTTTCATGTTACAATGTTATGGTCACGCATGCTTTAATGCGTGAAAAAACTGTTTCTGGTGTAGGATAGTTGTGTTACCCATTAGTAATTTTTTATATTGCGAATGCGGACAGGAATGTTGTTGTGGACCCGGAAGAGGTCCGAAAGAAAACTCGAACTCAGCAATTCAGTGAAAACGTATTATTAACAAAAAGAACGAATACAGAAGTGTTGCACGTCCATCTGACGGCTAAGTAGAATAGTCAACTCATCTGCTGTCTACAGTCCTCTTGCGAGGTATAATATAGTCATAAGACGAGTCTATTTTGTCCATGAAGGTAGGTTACCATAACAAGTGTTATTGTAGATGTCTCGCAATAGACAAATGGTCAGACATGTGTAATGTTAGCCTTCTTGTTAATGTATTTGTTGTATACGCAACATATATATATATTTTTTTTGTCGGAAATACATTCTCCCAAAGGACATTGAAATTGGTATATAATGTTGCTTTTACGTAATAAATAAATTTATTTTTTTTATTAGAATCCTTGGCAGTATTGTATTGATTCTTTATGAATTTTTCATCCTGTTTGTAGTTAGCATGAATCTGGCAAAAAAAAAACTAGTTTGATATATTTAGTGTCTTTGAGGAAGTAGTATATTCTATTTGGCGTCTTTTGAGGTTTTTATATATCGTCTTATTTGTTCATCTACAATGTCGTTTGGGAAGTCATTATCAATGAGAGTCTGTTTAATATTTTTTATTTCATTGTAGAAAATAATGTCTGTAATTTATTCAATCAGACATGCCTAAAATAGACTTTGCTGCCTAAATACAGAAATTTAAATTATATATATATTTGTTTACATTTGGATAAGCATCGAGCAAATATGAATATAAGTGAGAAAATCATGGAAAATTGTAGTTTAAAAACAGTTAAATCGACCTTGCCAACCGAACGCTCCTCTGAGGTTAAATCGTTAAAAGCACGCCAGGCTATATGACGGTTCCGTATAGGATACATGTTCGATTCCTGTCGGAGGACGCATATTTTCTATGACAATTTCTAGGACATTCAGGCCGGTAAATTTTGTTAATACTGTTTATTATAAACAGAACATTTACTTAAATATTTGTATCTATAAAAAAGAATGTATAAACATAAAAATGTCTTTATATATATATATATATAGATATATAAGTCGTGGCCTGACGATTGCGTCTAACATGAAACAGACTGTCGCCTCTCAGTGTTGACTTCAATGTTCACTTTTATATTTACACACGCTCTATCTCTGCTATTGAGCACTTTATCCCATAAATATACCACACCTTAACACTATATTTCTTTATATATATATGTCGTATATTTTGGCAGCAAACCTTCCTTTATATATGTTTCATTGAATGTAAATGAGGAAGATTACGTAGAAACTGGAGTGATGAATGTTCCAAGCTCTTTCGACTAATTGATAGACTATTTTCAATGGGTTTATTGTCAGTATTTTTTTGTGTTTGTATTTCTCTTTTATTCTATGTTGTATAGAAGTAGTAGTAGCAGGAGGAGGAGGAGGAGGAGGAGGAGGAGGGGGAAGGCACAACAAAATAGCAACAAAGATGGCGACAATAGTCGGAGTGTAAATAATGATAATATAAATATGAATTCTGTTGATGGTGATAGTGTCGCCCATACTCGAAAAGGTTATAAAATATTAACTTCGTGTTAAACATGTATCTTTGACAACGTCGGACATGTTCGGCATGTCGTTATGACGATAACTGCGTCGACAGTGTGAAATTTGGCAACGATTTCGGTCATTTTCCGTTCACAAATTGCTGTCAGGGTTGGTGAAGTTAAGCAGAAAGTTGGCGGCGAAATGAATCTAATTGCTGTTGAAGGCGAGGGAGTTTTTATTTACATGACCTTATCAGACGTCTGTGATGGCTCGATGTTCATATCAGTAAT